AGAAGAAGAAGAAGAAGAAGAAGAAGAAGAAGAAGAAGAAGAAGAAGAAGAAGAAGAAGAAGAAGAAGAAGAAGAAGAAGAAGAAGAAGAAACCCTGAGCTGTCCTTGGTGCTTTCTTGAAGTTGCTTGTTTTCTTGCAGACGCTTCACGACCCAAACAAGGTAACATCATCAGTGCTAGTAAGGAGTGATGTTAATTCCAAGGTCAACATCAGTCCAACAATCCCATAAACAATATCCCAATCAAGAAACTGCCAAAAAGGCAACAGTAAACAGCCCAACCAAAGGGCCTCTAAAGACCCCACCAACACTGAACAGGCAAGGCACCAGAAGATAAACAGACAGCAAACCATACTCCTTGCCAGCACTGATGATGTTACCTAGTTTGGGTCATGAAACGTCTTCAAGAAAACAATCAAGCTCAGAGAGCATGAAGGATCTCTAATAATTTTATTCTTCTCTGGCTGGCATTCTACTTTGGAGCCTCTTTCAGGCTATTTGGGACAAGAAAGCAACAAATCCTTTCATAGCTACAAGGCCGGATCTTACAGGAAAACGTGGGAGAAATTTTCCATGCGTTTTGGATTCCCACATACGTAGGTTTTTTTTTTTTTAAGTACATTAAAAGAAAGAGTGGAAGGGAGGCGTTTCAGCCGTCTGCCCTGGCGGCTTCCCCTCCTCTGCAAAAACCTCTGAATCAAGGGTAGGGGTAGCTTGGCACCCTTCCAGATCCCGCTTGCCAGGATCTTTGCAAGGCTCATCAAATACATGTGACCCAAAGAGGAGGGGGTCCTCACTTACCGTCCTGCATGCATATGGTTTCCCCCATCTTCCCCTTCCCCTTTTTGGGCATTTCTCTCCCCCTCTCCTTTTCTAGCCAAACCTAAGCAGGCCCCACTGAAGCCTAGGAGGCTCCTGCACAGACCCCTAGAAAGACCCTGGGGGCAAAAGGCACATCCTCCCCCATCCCCCGCTTCTCTTTCATCCCCAGCCCACCCCCCAGGAAGCGTAGTCAGGTCCAGGGCGCCCAAAGGCATCATCAATGCCCCACCTGCCCTGCGGGGGATGCCATCCATGCAAAGCCCACCACCGTCCTTGCCCACAGCACCCCCTCCCACCCAGGAAGCTGCAGGGCAGTGCCAGCCCCAGGGCTTGGCATGCATTGGAAGGGGTGGGGTGGGGGCTGATGCATGCAGGGTACCAAATGGGGGTCCCCCTCCCTCTCGCCCCCTCCCCACGCGTGCTTTTCCCACGGGGCGCATTTGAGGGGAGGGGCAGGCGAGGCGGTTTCGGATGGCGGGTCTAGCCAAGCCCCCCCAAAAAATCTCCCACCCGGGGGCAGCCCCCCTCCCTCCCCTTCCCCTCCCCAGGGTCACCTGCACGTCGCTCAGCTCCACGCGCAGGTAGAGCTCGGGATGCCGCTGCGCCCAGTGCACCTGCGGGGTCAGGCTCGCCATCGCGCCGGCCAGGCGGGAAGGAAGCAGCCGGGGAGGCGGCGCCAAAGGCGGGGAGGCGGCGGCGGCGCTGCGGGCCGGAGGAGGCGGAGGAAGGGAAGACGGGAGGCCGGGCAAGTCCCCCGCCCGGCGGCCGCCCCGCCGAGAGCGCCTCTCCTGCCGCGGCGGCCGCACTCCTCGCCCAGTAAGTGCCGCTGCAGCCGGGAGGCGCCGGGCCGGGGCAGGGCGGGGGGCTCCGGGGGGCGCTGCACGAGTCCGGCCGGGGGTCTCCTGGGCTGGCAGGCCACGGGCGGCGCTGCCAGGCT